GGTCGAAACTTGCGTCCTCGTAGAGCGTTCAATTTATATATTATCATTGTCAGCATCATCATTTGCACAAAATGTCATTTAGGTAAAAGAAACAACAGCAGCAACCATGGCAACGGAAACAAGAAGGCAACATGCCGCAAAATGACAAAACGAAGCGTAAAACAAAACAGGCACCGAGAACGTCGCAATTTGCGTAAGGCGCACGACTGCCATTAAGTTCAAAGCTAATGGCTAGGGCGTTGTGGCGGATCCCAGAATTCGTGGATACAACGACTGGAAAGCCTTGGTGGAATCGAACAGAACCGAAAAGGGAACACTGAATGCATATGGCAAGTGGCAAAGCTGTTTGTATAGCTAACAAAAGTAAAAGCACGGACAGTTCGAAGGAGCTTGGCGCTATTGGCGTAGCTGTTATGAGGGGTGACGCTGGAGCCGAAAGGCGACCAGAAATAATGTACGCATTAATTCCTCATTTAAATTCAACGGCGCGTACGAAGCAGTAGTTGCGTCAAGCTTTCTACCTCCCCACCACCCAACCACCAACACATCATCCAGCAACCCTCGAGTATCTGCTGCTGCTTTTGTTGTGTGTAGCATACTTTTTGGCACTGCTACTGCGACACTTTTTCGCATTAAAGTGCTTCTCGATTGCTTAAGAGCGAATTCCGTTCCTGGGCGAAAGTGATCAACGTCGTTTTTCATTTCTCAGTTTCTCGCAGCTGTTTCTTTTTTTGAAACTACTTATGTGAGAGGCTGTTGCCGCTGTTGCTGCTTGAGCAGTCGGCAACTTTTTAAATTAGCATAATGCCTGAAATTATGCAGCGCCTTTTGTGTCAGACACTTAAGTTGGTTTCCAGTTGTTTCTGCTGTTGATGTTGTGCCACTTTAAGTGCACTTTGCGCCACAAAAACAAACAACAGTTGCAGCAGCAAACCCAACAACAATAACAGCGCGACATCAGCAGGGGGCGTTAGCTAGGTCCAGACGAGAGCCCAGAAGTAAATCAACGCATTACACTTTGTAATGTGGCTTTCAGTGGGTACAGGGGGTGAGGTGATGTATGAGTGTATGTATACGCTTCTGCACAAAGCTCTGATAATGCCAATAATTCAATTATCCGTGTTGCTTTCTCTTGCTATGCTGCTCTAGTTGTTAGTCGGCTGTCGTTTGTGTTTGGCTTATTGTTATTGCCAAACCAACTGGCTAGCTGATATTGGTTTTGCAACTCCTGATGATGTACTTGTATTAAGCAGTTAATAACAGCCAGATAATAAGTAGAAGCCACACAGTAAGACGTCAATGAAAATAATTGTTACAATAATCCAAAAAGGCACATAATTTATCAATTGCTGTGATAGAGTCCTAGTTTCTTACTATGATAATAACAAATAAGAGCAAATAAACAAACTTTGCCAACCTCAAACTTTACATTTTATACAACGACTATTTTGTTATGCATTTGTTACTCATTAGGAAAATGCTTCAGATTAGTAAGTAAGTAAGTAAGTAACCCAGTAGTAACTGACTGGAAAGACAGTTGGAAATGTCTGTAAGTCTATCTCATTTTTGTATGTCTCTTTCTCCCTTTCGCATTGTTCGGCTCGTCTTGCTCTGCTTAAAAGCTTCCTAAATGGTTAAGCTTAAAGTTCCTGGTCACGATGACATTAACAGTGGCTATAATTTCATTACGTTTCGTTCATTAAAACTTTCAAAATGGCAGTCCCCAAAAGAGGCGCAAAAATTAAAGGAATGAAATGCTGAACACATCCCAGGGGCTTATGAAGCGAAACCCTGTGGAATTATGGCTCATTAAATGACATAATGCAGAAGAACATACATACAAACTCAAAATTTGGAACATTGTGTGCTTGTGCATAGCATGCTTTCCAGCAAGTAAGCAGCTGGTTCTCAGGGTAGAAAAAGAAACCGCAGTTGATGCCGCTGCTAGCTGGCGTATATCTTTCTAATACACATACATGCAGTGAATATACATAAGCACAATCCCAGAGCTCAAAAAAAAAAAGACAGTAGGGAGCGTAAGACATATGCCGCATAAAAGCCTTAACAAGATTTTTAGGCATAGTCGTCGTCTTTGACGTGCCTCTTAACTGCCGCAGCGTCTTTTTCAATTACACACATAATTAAATATGTTCCGTCTGTCTCTTACTCACTATGTGTAGGCGTTAAATCCCGGGAAGCGTGTGACAGCCTAGGTAAACATTACATACAGTGTGCGTATGCGGATGCGACAGCAAATACTTTAAATCTGTCCCAATTGTGCAATGGACTCAGCCTTAGCTCATATACCATTTTGTAGATTTTAATAAACATGCTGATAATTAAATTAAATTGTATGATTGTATTTAATATTAGCATTCGCCTTTTCTACTCATGTCTGTTTTCAAACTGTATTTGCTGTGGGCCGAATTCAATTTAATTTGAATAGAAACGCTTTAAGTGTAAAGAAAAGCTTGAGAGTTTCAATTTGTGCAATTATTTCGTGCTGCTAAATATTTATTGCTTTAGAGAATTGTATGGGCTAAAAGAAAAAAAAATTTAACCAATATTTTGAACCACTTGAAATCCGCGTTGGTAGGAGTGGTTGCTTAATGTAAAACTAGAAGTTATAACAGAATATATTTTCATTCAATAAAAAGTATTTGTTTAAATATTCTTAACTATTAGAAATCGCAAAAATGAGTAGAACTAAGCCAAAAAAATAAATTATGTGGCACAATGTCGTACATAAGGTGCGAAACAGTCAGTATCTTATATAATGCGAAATAAAAACCGCAATATAAGAGCAAAAACGACGTTACAGAAAATAACGGACGGTTACAGAAAAAAACCGTTAAAATGAACGCATAAGAAATTACGATTTTTTTACGAATCCAACTTGTGCCATAGATTAGGCCATTTGGCACTGACATATCCTTCGTTCAGATACGCCCTTATTGTGCACTTGGCCCATAAATTGCCATCAAAATGTGTGCAAAGTTCAGCAGCAAAGATACAACCCATCAACGCCGCCAATAAATTCTTATTAAATACAAATGAGCACCGCAAAAGTTATTTTGCCCAGACTTTTTTGGGGTCCCCCATCTATGCGATTGTAGATTGACACCAGCTTTCGAATCTTAGCAAATACACATTTGTTTATTACTCGCGCCAGAATAGAAAAAAAACGTAACTTGAAGCATTTTAACAGAATTACACCCTAAAACATTTCGAGCACCGCAAAGTATCCAAACATCGGACAACTTTAAGGACTGATGCCTTTTTAGTCATAACATTATTTATAAATGAAACAAAAGTTTATTTTTTAAATAAAACAGTTGAAAGTATTTTTTGAAATTACTGTTTTTGGAACTAATTAACTTGAAATGCTTCCCACTTAGTTTCAGTACTTCTACAGGCAGACGGCTGTTATATTAATTGGCAAGTGCCCGAACTGTGCACCCACTTCACATCAATCATTGGCCCAAGGTACTCCATTTACTCTTATGTGACTCGCCTGCAGCCATTCGCGTTTGGCTTCTGTTTCTCTTTGGCTGGCCGCCATGAGCAATTTGAAAATCGCGTCCTAATCCTTGTGCTGCTCTTCGTTGACCAGGTGATTTGTTTGCGACGCCATTGGTGGCAGAGCGCATAATTCAAAATGCCATTTCTGATAGCATCCTGCAGCCTCAGTCTCAGCTCTGCTCAGCTGGCATTTGCATTTGTTTTGACTGTGTCTCGCGTGTTTTGTGTATGTTTTGTCGAAAGTGTTTAAGCAATATATCAAATTCCGAACACCGGGCATGCATGTTACATTTTATTTAGATTTTTGCACAAAGATAGAGCTGCATTGTCTGACTGAAGTAGTAATGCTGGCCAGGAAATGGAAACTAAGTGCAACGGCCGCACATTAATCATGGCCTGCTTCTCCGCCTCATCCCCACCCCCTGAAAACGTGTTGAGACGCCAACGCTGCAGTACTGATTCATAAACCATTTATAGTTTTCTGTTGTTTTTGCTCTGTTCGTAAATCGCACACGCAACTTGCTTGGCGAGTTGAAAGGGTTAAGAAATTTATGTGTTGCAATTATTTTCTTGATATAACACTTTAAGTGATTTACCGAGCATGGCAGGGGTCGGAACGGAAAGTAAAATAGCAAACCTTAGCCAATGTGGAATGCGCAGCTTCAACTACCCAATGTGTCGATCCTGCGGCTATTCTATTTATTCCAGGTCATTTAATTTTACGCTATTGTTGCACTTAATACGATTTGCTAAAAGAAAGGGGTTTCCCTTTTTGGGAAAACTTTACAAACCATATTGTTGGTCATGTGTGCAATTTGCGGTGCCTTGCAGTGCTTGTCTGATTCGCAGATCTTAACTGATCCAGGGAAGGGATAAGGAAAACTAATTTTAAGACCTTGATAAAGACATTTAAATGACATGTTGCTTTTAGAATCGATGCGATGAATTAAAATATATTTGTTTATAGTTGTTAACGGCTTGTTTGTCAAGGAGTGCACTCATTTGAGTTTACAACAAAGTAATGCCTTGAAGTAATCTACGTATGGACGTCAGATATTAGTACGTTTGTGTAAACGTTAGTTTTGCTGAACGTGTAACTAAAAGGATGCAATGTTTATAAATCTTCTGTAGAAATTTGTACATATAATTGCTTCAGAACATAAGGGATAATTCACAATTAATGGGTTTCGCTTTGACGCCAGCAGCCAGTACAGAGCACACCAATAACAGAGCACAACATAACAACACCGACTGAGGTCACTAAAAATTATTTAATTACATTGAGAATTCTTCAATGTAATTTTAAAAGGCAAAATATAGTGAATTTTGCTAGCGCATTCTAAATAGCTTCTTTGTTTTTGGCGGACTTGACTCCATATTAAAGACTTTTAATTTATTGTGTACTTATTATAAGAAGAAATATTGTCGCTATCCGTTGTCGAGTTACTTATATTTTTCGCTTTCGATCTATCTTGCAGACCTGCTATGAACTGGAGCGCTATTTGCGTGACGAGCCTAAGCTGCAGAGCTATAAAAAGATGCACACTGATCTGGACACAGCCTGGGACATATTTTCAACGCCCGCACGCCTTCTGGAGGAACTGAAAATAAAAGAGAGTCTGGATACGATATCGACGACCTCATCTGTGTCGTCAAACTGTTCAGGCATATCGTGGGACAGCAATGGTTCACAGGCGCTTAGCTGTGCAGTGTTAGTTAAGCAAGAGCGCATCGACGAGGATGACGAAGAAGCAACACATAGACTATCATGTAATGAGAAATTGGACGTGCTATTTGCAGCGCCGCCCTCAGCCATATCGCCCAATCCAAGTATTAGCAGTGCCGGCAATATGACGCCTACCAGCAATAGCAACTGCTCAAGCAGCAATAGTAGCGTTAACATAAGCAACAGCAGCAGCAACTGCAATACTATCACCCTGAGCTCAAGTAGCAGTACAGCACCGGGTATTAAAGTGCGGGTGGTACAGGCCAAGAGTCAGCGTCGTTATCATTTGGGTCAGGGTCATGGGCATGACTTTGTGCTTCCCCCGTTAACTCCGCCATCATCACCTGAATCTAACCTTCGCAGCCATAACTATGCACAGCCGCCACATCAGCAACTCCAGCGGCCGCAGCAGATCGATGCCAGTGAGCTGGCGGCGATCCTCAAGCAGCAACAACGCCAGCAGCAGCAGACTTCAGCAGCAGCAAGTTCCACACCCGCGTCCACCGTTCTGCATTTCAGCAGCCAAACGATCGGCACCAAAAATTCCTCATTGACGCAAGCCACAACGTTGCAGCTGCAACAGCAACAGCAGCAGTTAGCAGTGCAACATTTAAGCATATCGCCTCAGGGGCTTAGCAAAACTAGCAGTAGCAACAGCTCGGCAAGCAACAACAACAATAACATTAGCAACAGCAGTAGCAGCAGCACAGATCAGTCCCCGAGTAACCATAACAACATTCCGCGCAGTACAATCGTGCGATTGACCACAGCCAATGGAACACCTGGAGCCGCTGGCATTAGCCTAGCACGTGTCATACAAATGCAAAACAATGGCAATGCTAATGTTGCTGCCGTTCTCAGCGCCGCTGCCGCCAACAATGTTAACAGTAACAACAACAGCAGCACCAATCCTGGTACAACAACATCCATGCAACAGCAATCGGCTTCACAACATCTGCAGCAGACACCACAAATAGTTGCCGTTGTTACGTCGCTCCCTGAAAAATCAATAACTGGTGCGTATTAGAGATCATAGATTCTATCTTAACAAGTCACCGATGGGTAATCAACTTAATTCCACAGCTTCCAGCAAAAATCATCACCCGCGCCAGCATCATAGCGATCACAGTCCGGATGCCAAACGACGCATACACAAGTGCCAATTTCTGGGCTGCAAAAAGGTCTATACGAAGAGTTCACATCTGAAGGCACATCAAAGAACCCATACAGGTAAGAAGGAATAACGTACTCAGCCCACAAACTATACCCAATACGCCCTTTCTGTCATATTTGGGAATCGTCAAAGTAGTAAACGCAGAAAATGAAATCCAATGCAGATTCTGCACATTACAAAAGTTAATGACAGCATTATGTTGACTACAGGATTAATACCAAGCCAACAATTTCCTGGCTGAAAATAAATAAACTTAGCTCGTATTGCTTTTCATTTATTAATCAAAGCAACAGCGCCGGTGACCTGAACACTAGAGCACAGGACAGGACACAAGTGATACGTTGCATTGTTTTTTTGCCATTGCCCCAATATCCTCACAGCCACGACCATTACCATAAAAAACAAACAAGAGACTAGAGAAAATCTAGTCGGTAGTAACAAAGATAAATTAAAAGTCAAAATAAGTTCCCTTTGCAGGGTTCGAACTTGCAACTAACCGCACTAGAATATATATATATATATATATATATATATATACTATTCTAGAGTAAACATATCACTTTAGGTGGACTCTAGCTTTTATTATTTACCCAATTTTCTTAAAAAACAGGATTTCGATATCGATTATTATCGATTGCTTTGAGCCGGAGTAAGTCATCGATTATCGGAAACAAACTCGATCTGCGCATGGACTACGACTACAGCTAAAATTTCAAGTCTCTAGCTCTTATAGTTTCTAAGTTCCTTGAGTTCATACATACGGACGGACGGACGGACAAACGGACAAACGGACATGGCTAGATCGACTCGGCTGTTGATACTGATCAACTATATATATGCTTTATGGTGTCGGAAATGCTTCTTTCTGCCTGTTACATATATTTGCAAAATTATACCCTTTTTACCCATTTTCAATGGGTTCAGGGAAACGAGCGGGAAACCAAAAACAGTCTCGAATGACAGTAGACGAGGCTTGAATTTCAATAAAAATCGCATAATTCAATAATGAATTATTGGGAACACGTACACAAACTCATGCTCTAAGACACAGATTAATCCTAGCGATGAAATGTAATTTTAATGCCGCCACAGTCAGCAACAGAGATTGAGAGGAAGAGAATCATGTCGAATCTATTGATTTGCGCCATGGAAACTTTCGCACACATGCGTATTCATATGCATTGTTGTATGTGTGTCTGTATTAATGCGTTACTAAAGAGTTTTGGCAGCATGCACTTAACCCAGAAAATATTAAGCCAAAATAAGGTTTAGATTTATCACATGGTGCATGTGTACACATGTTATGTGAATGTGAAATCTAATGGTTCTGAACTAAGTCATGCAAAATAGGTTGTTGAAAAAAAATGTATAATTAATTAAGCTTTTTTTAAGGTACACGGATAAAATAGACCGAATAAATCAAAAGGAAAGGTTTTTCATGCGATAAAAGATTGTAACATTTGATTGCCCAACAAGCAGACAGCTTTTTACAAAATGTAGATATTTCTTCCCAAAGTTGTAAAAATACTCTAAATAGAATGTAATTATTTAAAGGTCCCTATAGAAAACGAAGAAACATCTTAATCATTAACATTTTTGTACAAATTTGAGCACATTTTATGGAATAACTTTATTATTGAAACTGAAATTAAATTAATTAGAATACCAACGGGGTGGTTTAAATAAAAATCGTGCGAAAATTTTACAATTGATAATCAATTACACTGCTCCGCATAAAAGTTAAACGTAAATGTGCGCAGTGCGCAAAAGATTTCAATTAGTTAAACGCTGTGGCTATTAAAACAACAGACTTGCGGGAACTCTGAGGTTTGAAATAGCTGGCGGACGAAAGGCTGTTAAGAAAAGATTACTAGTGCAATCAAGCGGATAGACGCAACCAGACCATAAAAATTGTGTTGAGTGCAAAAGCCAAGAAGGCGCACAGCGCATAAAAGAAAAGCTAAGGAATGGCGTGCAGTGAAAGGAATGCTGAGACTTCTACCCCGTACGTTGCATGTCTCGCCGGAATATTCTTTCTATTGGCTGCTGACATTAAAAACCAACGCCAGCAAAATTTATAAAATATTAACTAGCTCCCGGCTCTGCGTTAAGCGGCAGCTGACCATGCTTCTGCTGTTGGCTGCAATTGCAACACCCCTCCCTTTAACAATTTAGATGTGCGCTATTGAAACTGAATCTAAAAATATGGAAAGAAAGGAGTCTGTGTACACATACATATACAAACATATAGCTAAGGTTAAGTTTTAACTAAGTTCGCTATTATAAATTAGCAGAGGCGACAGGAAAGAAAAAATTTCCTCGAACGGTTAATTACGTTTTATATGACGCAATCGTTTTATATTGGATTACTCCAAAGTGTTTTTGGGTATGCAAATTTATTTATCAATTCATAGAAATAACCGCCGCTGTCCTATTTCCAATTGGTGCCTTTTTGACATGTCAGCATCGTCGCGGTGATAACTTTTTAAAAACTCTTAATACCAACATATATAACAATGAAACTGATTAATCTTATGGCATGTCCAACATATAATTATACTTGCTTTTCCAGCGAGCTAGCAGGCTGTCCATTTTATTTTTGATAACGATTAAGTTTCGTTAGTTTACCAGATAACACGAGCAGTTTTGTGTCAGAGACTGTATCTGTGTGTGGGTTTTATGGTTAGTCATGGCGTTGTGTGTGTCGCTCGAATGCAGTTTAATACGAGACTCTTGGGTCCTGTCTGCATTGTACGCCCAGTGCTTTGTGCACTTGACGCTGATTTACGCAGGCTAAAGCCAAAAAGTGACCAATAAAAAATGCCAAAAGTCAATGCTAAAGCATTTCATACACACAGTCAAACTTCTTGTGGGTGTAAGTGTTTTTCAGGCACCCCTTTTATTTACAGCCGTTACTTCGATGGCTCGCTCACAGTTCTGACAACATGCCAAAGTGCAAGCGGCAGTACGACACCCACAAACAAGGAGTGAAATGTCCCATGTTGCACCGTCGTGACGCATCGCTGGACAGGGCGTCTCACTTCAACAATCGGTAGAGAGTAAACAAATGGAAATTAAGAGAGCACTGGTCAGTGGGTCGGTGGTGACTCGTTTGTTTCGTCAGGCAAGCAAGTTGGCCGCAAGTGCATAATGTGAAATTGAGCACGGAAATATCACACATTTCCGCATGCATTAAGTTTTAAGCTGTATATATATGTACATACATGTTAAGCTGCTGTGGTGTGCGTTACAAAGTTTTCCACTCAGCTTTATATATTTTTCTTGGCTGTCGTCTACTTTGCAGGTTATCTGGCTCCATTTTCCACTGCTGTTTTCTACAGCGGCAACTAACTACGAAGGCAACGCCGGCAATTTCCTGCCTTTGCTCCTGTTTGTCTTTTAAACGCAAATAATTTTATCATTTTTTCTGGCACAACTTTGTACTGTCCTATGCTCGACTCTGTGTGCATGCTTAGGTTTTACACTTTTGTGTGAAATTACAACTTCTGCATTTCCTTTTCCTTTTTGTCTGCATGCCATTATTGAGCTTCTGTAACGGGCACTGGCGCTCTGTTTGGCTTCGGCGCAATGGCTACTGTTTATGCCGCATCTTTTGAGGCTTTTGGCACGCATAAAAACTGTTGGCAAACCGATGCGCGATTTGGCAAACAGTTTTACTGAATTCGATCTCCACGTACATTTTTTTATACTTTTCATACTCCAAACCCATCATTTTTTTTTTTTAATGTCTTCAATTTTTGCCTTTTAAATATTCGTTTGCATTTTTTAATACTTTATAACTTTTGCACACTAGCTTAGAGATCATAAACTTATTCTATAATTTTTAGCTTTCAAAAAATAGGTTATGTGATTTTTAAATAAAACCTAGTTTTAGAGCACTCGGATTATTGCTCCTGTAAATGTCAATATTTATAAGAGAATTTTTTTAAATATTGTTAACCCGACATTTAATCAATAAAAGTTCAAATTGACGGACTTGGTTATGAGCCACTGCAGCAGTGCGAACCTACCTAGCTGATAAAGAAAAACTTTTTGCATTTTGCTCCCGGTATATAAGAAGGTAATGGCACACTATCCTCTGTACCTTTTTTTCGCCAGCTCCTTCGTTTCGTCCCTTGGTACGCACATTTCTGTGCTTTATCTTTTCGTTGTCTGCAGTAGCCGAAATGTAAGCAACTTACACTGCATACAATATTTGATGAATTTTATCAGAGCAGCTTATTGGATAAACAGATACTTGCGGTTTTTCTATGCGTTTTCATTAACTCTTTTCTACAAATTTCTATCATTGCAGGTGAGAAGCCATACAAATGCTCTTGGGATGGCTGCGAATGGCGTTTCGCTAGGAGCGATGAGCTAACCCGTCACTATCGCAAACACACTGGAGCCAAACCCTTTAAGTGCCGCAGTTGCGATCGCTGCTTCTCACGCTCTGATCACCTGGCCCTCCACATGAAGCGCCATATGTGAGGTGAAATCTAAATGGAAGTGCAATTGTGTGCCATCACAAGCTGCTATAGTGCTAATTAACAAAACTCACATAACAGCACAAGCAACTGAAAAATATTTAAGAACTTCAAATTCGATATAAAATTGTGTGTTTGTTGCTGTTAGTGCTTAACGTCTTATTCCATTTCATTATCGTTTCGCTTCCATATCTTTTTGGTTTAATTTCATTTTATCGTATAAGCATTTATCAAAATAACTTCCATATGCATTTAAACTCTCAACATAAAATATTTACCAAAGCAAAATAATTTTTTTCAGTAAAGCATCAAGAAAAAAAACTGAACAAAATAGCAGTCATAAATGAACTTATAAAGCACAATGAATATATGAAAATTGTATGAAATATATATATATACATATATTTTTATTTTGTTTGAGCAAAAACAACAAATATTGTAAACACTGCCAAAACAAAAATACGAAAAATTTAATAATTATTAAAATAATACAAAATGTTAACATACATGCATACATATACAAAGATTTAACGTTAAGAATATTCATCGTACTGGCATAGGTACAACAAAATACAAAAAAACACAAGTGCAAAATATGTTTTAAACAATAAATCAAATGCTTATATTTTCTTACATTAATTTAAATATATTTTAAATTTGTAATATAACTGTTGTAAAGGTTGATTACGTGAGTATGTATGTCGAGCAAATCGAAATGCCTAATGAATACAATTTTTTGGCACTACAAATTGATATTTTCAAAAGAAGTTTTGTTAACTTAGTTGTATTTATATCGCACACTTTTGTTTTGTGATGAAAAGTATTACGAAGAATTTTTTATTTGAGAAAATCAAAAAGCTAATTTTCTGTTTTGTGACGAATATATTTTTGACCATTTTTTTTACAAATTCTTCTTAATGTGCCTCATTAATTTAAAATAATTATATAAATAAATAATTTAAACTATTTTTTATATTACAAATTTAGACGTATTCAAAAAAAAAAAAACACTGCTTAATTTTAGCAGGTCACAATTAACAAAGCTTAAAGTATTTACACAAGTTCCAAGAATTAATTTCTGAAAATGCAGAGGAAATGACTTCTGGAAAACATGTAGAATTGTTTTTTATTTTCCACAATGTGTGCTAATGTTTTTGTTCGTTTTTATTTGCTGCCTATACTATAATGAACCAATTATTTCGTTTATTATTTGATTATTTTTAAATACTTGTAACAAAATAAATATTTTGAAAACAAGAGCAAAACGTTTTTCATATATTTTTATTACTCTTATTTTTCTTATTTATTTGCACGACAAAACAACACGATATCAAGGTATACAACATGATCGAGCATATATATTGTACATACGGCATTATGGTTTGTGCGAAGAGATATTCTGTGATCCAGAGAACAAGAAATATCTATGAAAAACAAACGGAAAAGTCACCTATCATTATATACATTGCGTTGCCGTCTGTCAGGCGTGCTAGAGTTTGTAATGGAACTCAATTATAAGGTATACGTTAATATATGCCTTTCAAAGTTGACACCTGATTTCTAACATAATTCTCAATGATTGTGAAGTGAGATTAATCACTTTTTTGAAGGTTTGTGTGTGGTTTGTGCTATGTGTCATCTCAATGTTAAGAATTAATTATAGTTTCAAATATGATTAAGAAGTTACAAACTAAAAGTTCCCTTTAAGATCATATTATTAATAAAAACGTACAATTATACTGGCTTTGAATTTCCAGTATCTTTTTCGGCTTCCATGCGAAAAAAAAACCCAAGAAAACGCACTGAAAATGGTTATGATGTTGATAACACAACTATAAATATTATTAAAACCCAATAAAACAACAATGTGTACGATGTGTCAAAAAACTTCAATCAGTTTACTACAACTTTTGAGAAAGATTAAAAACCAAGCCCAAATGGAATATTTTGTATAGAAAATCCTTATAAATAAAAACTAAATCCAACAACTACCATTTAGATTATAATGCGTGGGGGCCTAAATGTGAATAATAAATAAGTAATTATGAATGTATTTTACAATCCAAAATTCAAATCGTAAACGAAAATTGTATTTTAAAAACAAAGCTAAACTAAACTTTAATACATAATTCAGTAAGCATTAAAACACAATAAAAGACTGGTCAACGAGGTGTTCCGCGTTTATACAACAATTGCAACAAAAGTAAACAAAATTAAAAAATACCAAGTAGAAGGGAATTAAACTCAAAACAAATCCAAATGAAAACATTTATTCAAAAGATCCTTAGCGTATTGCTAAGCCCATCAAATACACTAGCAAACGCATATTTGAACTAGTTAAGCTTGATCGATTCGAAGTTCAAGTTGAGCACGCGCGCTTGTAACTTATTTTTGACTGCATAAACAGTCCACTGACCCATTTTGCAAAGGCTAATATGTATTAATATATTGTTTAATACTAAACATACGTAAAGCTAACCGTAATGTTAATAAAGTACGAATTTTAAGAAACGCTGAATGTGAGTCTAGAGAGTACTAACAACAACAACAAAAATAATAATAATAAAACCAACATACACATACTGATTATGAACACATGTATTACTGTCTCAATTTAACAGTTAAATTATATATACAAAAAGCACAAAACTCAAGACAAGACGGAAGATCACAGCATAATTCCCTACACATTTTCTATAGATTTACAGCTTAGCAATAATATTGGGTAGAATTTTTGGTAAATATTACTCGAAAATAAATACAAATAATTTCTTTATATTTTTGTTTGCATAGTGCTTGGCAAATTTTTAAACTATGATTTAGGCAAAACCGACATAAATACTTAGTTAATATGAATAACTAAAAAACGACTTGTAACGTGCATGGCAGTACAGCTATATATATTGCTATACCATATTTGATTAAATGTAAACGTCTTATATAGCAATATAAGCATTGTGTGTATAGTTTAGTGAAATTAAATAGTTTAATGTTAAATAAACTCGAATGGAAAATCAAAATAACCATTATAAACACAATAAATGTATTTATATGTAAAACAGTGTATGGCAAAGGACATATTTAAATGTTGTGTATGTATTAGGAAATAAGAATTAAAAACTGATGAGTTGGAGAAGCATGCGAAGCATCTATATTAAGACTAGGCATTTTGTATTAAACGTCTAAGTTAATAGATACAGGCTGGATAAATCATCGAAATACAGTCTTTACTTGCGCATTATAAGCGTATGTTTGGTCAGCAGCAACTGGTGATTTATATAGATTTTTAAAAAGATCTTAATTTAGCTTTTTTGTGAAATGTGAGTTAGCCTCTGCATATACAAACAAAATTTAAATTAAATTGGATACTTAAGGCGCGTAATTGATATCATAATTCAAAAGTTTCAGCACAGGTAAACTTAACATACAATTTAAATAAATATGCATGTAAATAAGTAAAATGGCATCAGGAACAATGCTATCGTATTAAAAAACAAAACTACTTGACCGCTTGTGCAGAAAATTTAAACAAAACAATTGATATTTATTTATGGGTAAAAATAAGTGGAAATATCGATTCTGGGCTGACGCATGTCGATGTTAACACAAACAAGAAAAACAAATAAATTGTTGATGCATTTTAATAATGTTGACTTTGTCTGGGTAATGAGAAATAGCGATAGGGGTAGGTAGTATATTTGACTTTTGTGATTGCAGGCGGCGCTGAACAAACAATTCACATCATTAGCCCCGAAGGAATGGCTTGCAACAGCAATAAGGATAACAATAACTGTAACATTGCAATTCATGCAATTTCGACGACCTGCATTTGCACGTGCATAAATTTTACTTTATAACACGTATGTAAATTTTCATTTTTTCTGTACTAATAATTACAAATTGCCAGCTGTTGAGACCCTCCAACTTTATTATCAGCTACTCACTACTGCAATCATCAGGCAGCAATTACACAGCAGATAATACTACCAATTTATATATATGCAATTCGTAAGCCCATTATGGTGCGGAAGTTGGCACAAATTAAAAAGCGGCTTAAAATAAAAGCATGCGAAAAAGAAAAGATGATAGATAATAGTATGAGACGAGAAATCCGTTTATTAATATACTAAAATACTTACAATCAAAATTTAATTAATGATAATTGCATAGTAAGGCGAATTTAAAAATAGATTTTCGTATAATTTGCTGCCCAAGTAAGAAAAACGTGACGGCACACGTAAGGAAAACGTTACTTAAGGTACGGATGTTTGAAAGTTTTATGTTGACCAACCGATCAAAAATTTATTTAATACGTGCCATGGACAAGGCCGGGGAATACCCGCTTGTATCCTGAATATACATAGGTCATAATTCCCCACCCCCATAACTCGTTTAAATCTCATATGACTTTTACGAGGTTTTGCTCTATGTTCATGGCTTGACCCCCATATCAATTTGGCATCTAAATCTGGCAGCGTTAATCTTGTTTTTTGGTTTTGTCAAATTAAGCTGATTTTTCATTGACTTTCTTAATAAGGAAAGTGCGACTATAAGTCTCGGTTCCCACATAATAATTTATCTTTCCACAGTTACAGGACTTTGTCTGTCCCACCATATTCCTACGGATCGATTCTCCCTTTAATTCTAGCCACCTTGCAGAGAGAGCAGACGTAAAGCCCTTTATTTTTACCCGTTTCGAAGAGTTTTTGTGGTAACAAAATGGACAAGAAAAGTTTTCATATTCTTAATTTTGTTCTGCTAACTCTCTGCTAGCAGCAAAACTTCTAATTGCGTACATGACTAGCAGACATGTTGACAACCCCTCTACATGTGCCTGTGTCTGCATGAATACACTAGAGAATCTCAAATAACAGCTTACTGGTGTATGTATGTATAGAATTACCGTTTTACATATATATATATATATATAACCAGTTTGCTATTTTAACGTTCAAGTGGCAGCACTACATTTACATTGATTACCATGAATACCTAAAAGAACTATGTAGTTGGGTCCTTTCTACCCGTCTAACATAGTGTACTAGTTTTTTAATCACGGATTCTCAGTGTAGAACCGGCTGATAGCACTCAATGAAGCCGCATCTTCTGGTTTCCCGCTGCATCTTTATCAAAATTGTTTCTAAAGTTCAAACCACTTTGTGAATGGCGCGCGGGGGCTATAATTTTTAAAAAGTTTTCGGTTTTCTTCGTCACATACTTGTACGCACGCAGATATACACGATTGTACGCATACCAACCATGTTGTGTTGTGGCTGATGTGTATACCGGTCTCCTTTGACGTAAACCGATAAAAAATCATGATTAAAACTCACAGCTCGACATTTTCTATAATATTTGCAGTATAACGTGTATGGAACGCTTTAGTTTGAGTCAAGTCAAACAAATT